GGAATTCTTAAATGCAGCTCACTCAATGGTGAATCCAGAGGAATTCTTAAATGCAGCCCACTCAATGGTGAATCCAGACAAATCCTTAAATGCAGCCCACTCAATGGTGAATCCAGACAAATCCCCAAAATGCAGTCCACTCAATGGTGAATCCAGACAAATATATCTCACAATTTACACATATTCACACCATCAAATATATCACATACCAAAAGAAAGCTATAGAAATGATCCCAGAGTGCAAAGCTGAAGATAACATCTTATGCCAGGATTAATTCACCCAACAATTCCAATTGCCTTATATGGTAACACGTGCTACTCAGATAAGTGCAAATAAAACAAAGTGTGTATATGTGACTGCTTTAATTTTACAGATTCAAGTAAAGAAAACTGTATTTTTGATCTCTGAATGCACCACCATTTTGTGTTCCTCTTCAGTTGCATGCGTCCCAGTTTGGCATGTCCCAAATACTCACCTCTGTCAATGTTGCTATTTAGGTACACTCTTTCTGCCTGCTCGCCTGCTAGGATGGATGGACTCAGAATGCAGATATAATGGTGGTAGTTTGGGTGAAGGTTATAGTAGTAGTAGTAGTGGTAATGGTGGTGGTGGTCAATAATATTTCTATTTATTCATTCCTATTGCAAATATATCCAATAAATTTATAATTTCTTTTTCCCCAGTGCTCTTTGATCAATAAAGAGATTATTGATGGATGTTTCATGTAACTGTCACTTTGTTAAAAAAAATTTTTAACTTTAGATTATGTTTAGACATTCAATCAAAACATAAGCCAATAATTGAAAAGAAAATTTTCATCAGCATCTCCTCGTTTTCTTTTTTTACTTAGTACAAAAAAAGTGTTGTTTGAGTAAATCTGTTTGAAACTGTTTCGAATCCACAGAAATCCATATTAAAGCATTATTTCATGAAAAGTAAATATTAATTAAAAATCAGTAATTCATGACAACCTTGTGTTCACATCACCAATTGTGCTTCAACCAAATATTGAATGTTCATTTTTGAAGCTATTGGTGGAATGCTGAAAGAAAGCATAACTTTTGTGTTTCAGACTTAGTCAGCAAAATAGGGCAGATTAGCCTCTGTCTGTCTACCTGGCAAGCAACAAAACAGTACATAATACAAAAATGTATGGCTTATATACAGTATGTCACTCTATTTAAGTCACTCTATTCTGACATTTGAGTCACATGATGGCAATACTTCTAAGTTTAGCTGTTTTACAGTGATTTATTATTCTATTAGCTCAGATATTAAAAATTGATATTGATATTTGTGCATATGCTCAGTAACACACTCATTAGATGCAAATTTTGAATTTAGCTCAAAGTTCAGTGAAAAAACATTAGTAAGAAGTGACACTTAAATGAAAACATGTATTCAAAATACATCATGGAGTTTCCGATGGAGATATGTAAACGTGTCTCGTTTCTCCGTTTGGGAGTAAATATGATCTCTACTAAGGATCATTGGGATTCTGCTAACTTCAAAATGAGATGTTCTTTTCTGGAACTTCAGTAGGTGCCGGAAACAGGTGATCAGGAAAACTGTTATCTCCATCAAAGTTTCCATAGCAACACTCCTAGGAACATTGTCAGCAGTGTTTATTATGACTTTGCTTTTGCCAAAAATTAAGAATCTAGAGATTCATGTAGAGATGTAGTTTTACAGGGGGTGCTAAAAAATTTTAACTGTTATGCTTGTGATCAAATAATAATTTAAATTGTTTAAGAGCACAGGCAGCATTCAATATTTCAATGATCGGTTTGTTTTCTAACCTGAATCTGAAACATTCACACTACATTTTTACTGGTCAAACACGAGTTTGGCAGACTACTTCAAAATGAGCATATTTTGGTGATATCTGAATATGTAAAGTCCATTCAAACATCGTCAGATATTATTCAACACCATCCGCCGTAATTGGATTTTCTTTCACTACATAATATATGCGTTATTTGTGTAAAAAGAAAATAGAAATACTGAGGGTACACTGTATAAATGTAATTGTTTCAAACATTGTTGTAGTGTTTCACCCCCATTATCGTGATTGATAGGCCCAAGACATTGATATTTCACCATTTCACCACCAAAATCAAAACAAACATCGCTAGCAATGTTCTCAGGAATTATTATTGTTGCAAGAGAAACTGTTTTCTTGGTCACCTTCTTTCAGCTCCCATTGTAATAAATTTTGAGAGATTAGCGGTGTTTTAGTAACTCTTTATTTTCCGAATGATGCATGGTGATTGTATGCTTTAGATTCAGCAGGTCTTGCCCATGACAATATACAATTCACCATATAAACTCAACCATCTGTACATATATATATATATATATATATATAATAGTAATACAAGTATATAATACTTTATTCAGTACCTTGGCCTCATTTATAAATTGTAAATAATTAACATACATCGGAAATGAATTAAACTCAATCTAGTTTAAAAGTTGAGATATTGTTATAAGTAGTTCATTTCTTTTCACCGGTAATCTTCTCTATATATGTGCAAGTGTCGGAAATTCAATATTTACATGTCTTGCCCCACACATGGTTAAAGTTGTTTTTATTCACACGTGGTGATGTGATGATAATGGTCAAATACATGTATATCTATATTAATACTATTATTTTGTTGTATATAAATAATAAGTTGAGCTATTTCGTTTCAATGAATCTGTTTTGATCAAGACTTACATGTAATCTTATATGAATGCGTTATCATTCAAAAATAATGAAATTTTTTTATACTGATCAAAAGTATTTCAGATTTTGACATTTTCATAAAAATGATTACCCTGTTTACCCATTTTTGATATATTTGTACTAAAATTGTTCTCACAGTTGCATGGTATGTCTCAATACCATGCTTTAGTATTATTATTTAAACTGCCACACCCCGGTCATACTGACAGGATATGTTATGTAGATAAAAAACAACATATGTTACATGAGTTTGTTGGATCTAATGATATAAGAGAATAAAAGAACATATGATTCAAGTGGTGAATTTACATCTCCTGGGAAGGGCCTGCTGTACAGACACTAAACTACTTTTGATACTCAGATACACAGGTTTACTGTACCACCTCCCAGCTATGAACCTGGATATTACCAACATGGGATGGTAGAAATGCAGGTCTGTCTTCTTTCACATCTCATTTATAACCAACTTATTTTCTTTTATATCTTCCTTCACTTTGCAATCTGCTCATCTGATGTTGTGGCTCGTATAAAAAGGTGGCCTCGGATTACATGTGGCATGTGTGCCCTGCATGTCATTGCATCGTTGTTTGAGCAGTGTTGTGAGTGTAAGAACATACACCTCTCACCCACAATGCATTAGAGAGCAAAATGTTCTTTTAATCTTATTTCCTCACAGACACCATCTCTTGGTTATCGTCTTATCTTGTATGTACTCATTTTACGGTTGTTTTTCAGAATTGTGAATTGCAGTTGTGTACGTCTCGGCCACCGCATTACGTCTGTTCACCACGTTACACCTTGGTCACTATGTTCCCAGTATTGTTAAATGTCTAATGTGAATAATAAGTACTTGAAATCTCTGTATAAATTGCATTGCTGTTCAGCGGATGAGAAGTCTTTCTCCAGAAGCTTGCTTCTTACTAATAAAGTGACTGGAACTTGTTTTGTGTTTGTTTTCTCAGATGTAGATAGATGTACATAGATGTACATGCATGATGCACTTGTCCAGCTCATGTTTACTCTGACTTAATAGGATCTATGGTTTACCACATCACTTGAACTTTTCCACATTTCAATATGTGCACGTTTTTCACGAGTCTTGCAAGTGAAATGTCTTATCTAGTAAAATTACTTTTGAATTATTTAAAAACTGACAGCATTTGTTTACCATTTTGCCAAACAGCATGTGAATGTTTTGGTTCAAGACATCATTGCCCATGTGTTTATGTGATTAGCTGGGACACATACATTTATATTTACAACTGATGCAAATGTGTATGGTTGTTAATCAGCCCCTGCATGCACATGAAAAATGTAAATGATTGGTTATATGAACTAATAAACATTACTTTGTAATAGCTTATATTCCAGAAATTATTTTGATGTCAAAAATGTGAGTGCATGAGAAAATAATCAACATTACAGTGAGAACAGAACAAGTATTGACAATGAAATATGTATACTCCCTCCTATACTAGATGAAGTCACAAGTTGTTGCATATGTTGTTGTATCATGATGAACCACTTAAACAAATTCATGCACTACTGTATTCATCTTAACACAAATTAATACATATGTGTATGCGTGTATCTTTGTTGTATTTTGTTACCTTATCTGTCAGTGTTACTAAGTTTAAATTAACTGTAATTGTTTTTCAGGTCTCTTCCTGTCCAGAATGTGAGGATATGTGTCTGTTATGTTGTTGTGTCAATTCTATGGATTTCAGTCTTTTGTTTGTTGTGTTATTTTGTATTTTCCAGAATTTGCATGTCATAGTGTTCTTCTCCTGTTTGAATTATATGTCATGACTTATGACAGGAATACAATATCAATGTTGCCTTAAAAATACTGAATTGCTTATTTGAGTGTCTTGTTTCAGTAAACCCACTTTAATATACCATGCATTAAAACCAATTCATGTATTTTTGGACACACACCAACTGTGCACATTGTTGTATGTTCTTGTAGCAGCCAGGTGCCCCGATCCAGTCCAGTATGCCACCTGCGATGTCAATTCAGGCACAGCAGAGATCACCGGCTCCGGGATCACTCCAGCAAGCAGCGACACAACAACAGACACACAGGTAAGGGATGCTGCTTATATATACATTTAGTGTTAATATCGCTGCGTTTTCATCGATGTGCTCAAAGGTATACCTTTGAAAGTTGTGTATGTTTGCAAATTTGTAAGCATCATCAACATTTTGTAGATTTCATGTATGGTGGTGTTACCCATATTTAATAACTAACAAACCATCTGCTGGCTGGCTGGCTCATCTGTATAAGTAATAAAAAGAACACCATGACAAATTCTCATCACCATCTTGCATGTACCATCAGTGATAAGTGTATTCTGTGGTTGTGAAGTCACCCAAGCACTTGACATATCCTTAGCTATTAAGGATTTTTCGTGTCTATTTAAAGAGAATCGAAATTCAGATTTGCATGATTTTTAAACGATGGTTTTATGTTATATGGTATTAGAACTACTTTTTGCATTAAAAAAACCATGAAAACTGCAATGTTGGATCTCTGTAGGGATCTCTGGTCATACATCGTATCTGAGAATATTGTTCCGTAACGTATAGTGAAAAAATAGTATGTTATAAGGTGATTCAGATTATAACAAATTATTAGGAGATTTCGAGGAATATTATTCACTTTCCATGAAATAATACCTTTATATGACATGTTCTGAAAATCCTGATTTTCTGGAATTTTGTTGCATGATTCACTCTAGAAGAAAATACTCAAAAGAAATTTCCTATGACTAAATCTGTAATTAAGTAGCACTTTTACAACAAAAGGGTTGAAATACTTGCGAACAATCTTATCACAGAATTTTCAGAATCCTCATTAGCATATTGTAAGATGATACAACTTGGATTGGTTTAAGTAACGCTGTCCATTGCTTGTGTCTTTCAGCTCACAGCCAACAACTTCCCCCGCTGCTGGCTACATGCAACAATTACAACCTAATCAGCCGCATCACATGTTAGTACTAAATTGGATTTTCAAAATTTGATATTTATAAATCATCCCATGAGTGATTGCATTAATATTTTCACGTAGCGAATGTCGATGGGAAAACTGGAAATAACAATATACTCATAAGGGGACCCCTTTTAAAACTTAAATAGGGGGGTTCCCTCTAATATTGGGGGGGGGGGTCTGGGAAGCATAATACATGTATGCGGTGAGAATTGATGCTACTCAGTCTGTAATCATGAATGTCTGCTTATGTCAACCTAAGAGAGTATTCTGGGATTATATATTTATCACAGCTCGACAAAGTGAAACAGAGAAGTGTTGAAAGTAGAACTATTATAACACCAATCAAAATATATACTATTGCATGTGCCTTGTATGCTCATTTTGTTAGCACCATCATGTTCTGTTTTACACAAGCACCTTGTCCACACTATGTGGCGATTCTGCTTGTTAGTAATATTTGCTCCCATTCGCTAGGATTTTTTTTATTTCAACCAATTTTTATGGAGGTACTTAAATAATAATTCCAAAAATTTATGTGTTCTAGACACTCACCCACCCACCTGCCAATCCAACTCCCAAAGTATGTGCTGTACCCACCTACCTGCCAATCCGACTCCCAAAGTATGTGTTCTACCCACCTACCTGCCAATCTGACTCCCAAAGTATGTGTTCTACCCACCTGCCTGCCAATCCAACCCCCAAAGTATGTGTTCTACCCGCCTGCCTGCCAATCTGACTCCCAAAGTATGTGTTCTACCCACCTACCTGCCAATCTGACTGCCATAGTACGTGTTCTACCCACCTGCCTGCCAATCCGACTCCCAAAGTATGTGTTCTACCCACCTACCTGCCAATCTGACTGCCATAGTACGTGTTCTACCCACCTGCCTGCCAATCCGACTCCCAAAGTATGTGTTCTACCCACCTACCTGCCAATCTGACTCCCAAAGTATGTGTTCTACCCACCTACCTGCCAATCTGACTCCCATAGTATGTGTTCTACCCACCTGCCTGCCAATCCAACCCCCAAAGTATGTGTTCTACCCACCTGCCTGCCAATCTGACTCCCAAAGTATGTGTTCTACCCACCTGCCTGCCAATCTGACTCCCAAAGTATGTGTTCTACCCACCTGCCTGCCAATCTGACTCCCAAAGTATGTGTTCTACCCACCTGCCTGCCAATCCAACTCTCAAAGTATGTGTTCTACCCACCTGCCTGCCAATCTGACTCCCAAAGTATGTGTTCTACCCACCTGCCTGCCAATCCAACTCTCAAAGTATGTGTTCTACCCACCTGCCTGCCAATCTGACTGCCATAGTACGTGTTCTACCCACCTGACTGCCATAGTATGTGTTTTACCCACCTGCCTGCCAATCCGACTCCCATAGTACATGTTCTACCCACCTACCTGCCAATCCGACTCCCATAGTATG